AACAGATTACGAATGAGGATAAGATTCTAAATTGACGTTAGTGAAAGTATAAATATCAGCAGTCATATTAGACCACAAACTTGACTTCATATCTCAACAAGATTTAAAGGAATAGTTGACCCGAAAATGAAAATTAGCTGAAAATGTACTCACCATCAGGCCATCCACAGTGTACATGAGTTTGTTTCTACATCAGAACAGATTTGGAGAAATGTAGCATTACATCACTTGTTCAGTAATGGAGCCTCTGCAGTGAATGGGTGCCGTCAGAATGAGTGTCCAAACAGCTGATAAAAACATCACAATAATCCACAAAAAATCCACATGACTCCAGTCCATCAGTTAATGTCTGGTGAAGTGAAAAGCTGCGTGTTTGTAAGAAACATATCCATTACATAAACATGTATAACTGCAAACCATTGCTTCCAGCTAAAATACGCATCCTCTCTCCATAACATTGCTTTCTCCGGTGAAAAGTCGCTGCACCTGAATCAGGAGAGAAATATGCACAGATCAAGCACCGTTTACAAGCCCAAACAGCTCTGTATAAATATACTGGTGCATTCTGATGTGTAAGGACAACAGGGAAGATACTTTTTACAGGAGAAAGCATTATTATGGATTTTAAACTGGTATTTTGGTCAGAAGCGACATTTTAAAGTTACAAATCTTTAATAATGGATTTGTTTCTTGAAAAAACACAAAGCTTTTCACTTCAAAAGACATTAATTGATGGGCTGTGGATTATTGTGATGTTTTTATCAGCTGTTTGGACTCTCATTCTGACGGCACCCATTCACTGCAGAGGATCCACTGGTGAGCAAGTGATCTAATGCTACATTTCTCCAACTCTGTTCCTTCCCATGAAGAAACAAACTCATCTACATCTTGGATGGCCTGAGAGTGAGTACATTTTCAGCAAATGTTTTTCGAAGCAAATTCATTTTTGAGTGAACTATTCCTTACCTAGGAAATGAGTGCTGATCACCCATGCAAAACTTGCCACTATTATATATGCTAGAGCGTTATGGGTTGTTGCCGGTACAAATTACCCTCCAAAGTTTAATACTTCGAGGCAGGGGTTTGTTTTTCCTTAGCAAACACCACCAATGAATGTCCTCTTCAATCATAGTAAACAGCCCATCTACAGTCTCTATAGATGGTGTGTGGGCAGCTGTGCTTGGAGAAAACATTAAGCCGATTCTACCGAACAGACGTCACTATTCACGACAGACAGTGAGGTTAAGAACTGCGTGTGAACTGTCGGCCTGTCTCGAAGAGCTTCTCTTACATGTTTTTGTCACTCCTAACACAAAAACACACACATTCATGTGTCGATGTGTGAAAAGTGTGAGTGCAGTGTGAAAAATTAGCCTGACCTGCTGAACTGTACTAGACAAATCCAAGCAGCACCACTCCAGTGATCACAGCTAAATTGGGTTATTTCACTGTTTGTGTACGTGCTGGAGACAACATGAATGTTTTCCCCTGAGTCAAAGTGAAACACTGTTTGCAACCCATTTTATATTCATGCACTACTATTCTTTCATTCAGAAAGGATGCATTCAGTTGCTCAACAGTGACAGTGAAGACATTTATAATATCACAAAAAAATAGGGTTGCACGATTAATCGAATGCAATTGTCATGCGCATTTTGATAGTAATGCTGGTTCTGTAATCAGCAGGAAATCATCATCACGTGCTTTCAGATGGAGCAGCATTTACTACACATAGCTGTAGTTCACTAACAAGTTAGGCAAAAAAAAAGACGCAGACGATGTTATTGCGCGATTATGAAATCTAAGAAATCGTTCGCGATAATGACAGCTGTTTGCATAGCTTCTCAGTGAACTACGGCTCTGTGAAGTAAATGCTGCTCCATCTGAAAGCATGTGAAAATACCACATTTAATAACATATTTTTAATCCAAACTCACTTCATAACGTCAGTCGAGTGTTTGAAATAAATCCTTCTGTGAGATGATGTGGCTTCTTACACAGAATAAGGCACGCAACATATTTCATAGTATTTAAGCAGTGATAAAGGCATTGCATTATAAATATACTTTATTTTAATGAAAATTATAATAATAAGAACTCAGATAAACTGTATATTGCTGTAGTCGTGTGTTTATTAGTCACGTTGAATCAATGAAAGCAGTTGAATCTTCTGTTTATTCAGCTGCAGCGAGGCGTATTTGGAGTTTCAGCGCGAGAGCACCCTCTGAGAGCGCCCTCTGGCCTTCAGATGGAGATTTACTGCTGATCACAGAACCGTGCTTCACTGAAAGATACGCATGACAATCGCAGCTTCTGTCGAATCGCCATCTCGATTCCATTTCGATTTATCGTGCAGCCCTACAAAAAAATTCAAAAATTTCAAATAAATGCTGTTCAGTAAACAATGTGATTTCCACAAAATATTAAGCAGCACAACCGTTTTCAGCATAGATAATAATAATGTTTCTTAAGCAGCAAATCAGCATATTAGAAGGATTTCTAAAGGATCATGTGACACTAAAGACTGGAGTAATGATGCTGAAAATTCAGCTTTGCATCACAGGAATAAATTACATTTTAAACTAAATTCAAATATAAAACAGTTATTTGAAATTGTAATAATATTTCACAATATTACACTTTTTATTGTATTTTTGTTCAAATAAATGCAGCCTTAGTGAGCATAAGAGACTTCTTTCAAAAACGTAAAAAATCGTAACAACCTCAAATGGTATTTAATTATAAAATGAGCATAAAATTTGAAGCAGGGCTTAATTTAATACATTATAAACTGATTGGATCATGAAAACAGGTGCTACCAACGCTATCTCACGACCAATTCGTACGTATTTCACGAGGTGGCTAATTCGTACGAATTCATACGACCTCACTCGTACGATTTTGTACGATTTGTCTAGACCCCAGTGACGGGTCAGTTTAGGGGCAGGGTTAGGTGTAGGTCATTCATACAAATTCATACGAATTGTGCAACTCGTAAAATACGTACGATTTAGCAAAAATCGTATGAATTTGTACGAGTGAGGTCATACGAATTAGCCACCTCGTAAAATATGTACGAACTGTCGTGAGATCGGGCAGGTGCTACATATTTGAAGATAGCTCAACGGGCGGGTTTGATGATGTCAGCAGAAGTGGAAAGTCGTTTCATGGGCATTTATTTTTATTTTTTTTAATGACATGCACCAATGAATCGCTCACAGTGACTCATATAGTAAGAAAATAAATAAGAGTCCATTTTGACTTCATGCCGACTTTAAGAGTGCGCCACCAGACTTCAGATTTTCTTTCTTAACTCTTACAGCCCTGTCTCCCTCTCTCTCTCTCTCTGTGCTCTGCCCTGCTGTTTGTTTGACACACAACACAAACTCGGCGGCAAGAGAGACGGCTTTAGCTAATGGCTTTTTAATGGGCTGCTGGGTTTCTTGTGTCTCCGAGCTGATGGCCACCACTTACCCTAAGCACACAAACACACACACGCGGCATACAAACGGAGTCATTCCCACTTTGTCTTGTCTCCTTAAAGTGACTTAGAAACCTCACTCCACTAACGACATCCTGCTCTTCAGCAGACTGGAGTCACATATGAACCCTGATTCCATTACGGACTCATAAAACACTCTGCAAAGACCGAGACACAAGACAGACGCTCTCTAATTTCATAACTCAACATTACAGCATGCATTCACACAGATGGAAATGGGAAAATGCTTCGCATTGCTATAATAGAGTGATTTAGAGCAGAAATTTAGAACAGAACTTCCTGTAAATCCTGAAACCTAACCTAATCTCTCATACCTAAAATGTAAAGAGAAAGATCAAATGTAGAGAAAAGAGAGGAATCATTTACTCACTGTCATTTCTAACATATGCAACTTTCTTTCTTCCATGCAACCCGAAGTCTCTGTCCTGCTTTTTTCCATATATCGGAAGTGTATAACGGTTTATGCTGTCATACTTTAAAAAGCTCCCTAAAAGTATGACTTATGCACTATTTACCAAGTCATACAACAGATTTGTGCAGCTAACAGTCCAAAACTGTAGTTGTTGTTCAATTAAATTTCATCCTCCAACACAGCTCTCAATTCCCATTTGTGCTTGTGCCCCATTCAGACTTTGTACATATCAAGGATGGCACTTGGCAGAGACATTGTGTGCGCCATGGAAGAAAGTCATAAGGGTTTGGAATTACATGAGAGTGAGAAAATTATGGCAGAATACACATTTTTGAGAGCACTGAATAATCATTTTGACTGCCAATGAATAAAAACGCTATCAAATCAGCACAACATAGTCAAATAACACCTTCAACAAACATGCTTCAATGTAAACTTAAAATGTAAATACATAAAAATGCATTTAATACTACTATACATCAAAAATAACTTTTAAGCAATTAGGCCTACGTATTTTTTATTTTTTTTAATTGCCTATAGGTCATGTGTCCAAATGCAAGACATTAAATATGTAAGATTTTAAATCCATCTTCAAAATCTCTGTCTTTCAATAAAACTTACTTGACAAAAAATACATGAATGGAAAATACGCTGTAAAAACTTACTTAGATTGCAAATATTCCACAAATATTTTTTTGTAAATGTAGGCTATGAGACTATGACTGTTAGTTAACGATGCTAGATACATAATCATAATAAAAGAGATTTTTAAAAAAAACTGAAAGCATATGTATGGTCGGTGTTTTAAATTAAGCATGACTGTGGCTTTGCGGTCTCAAATTCCAGATCTGATCTCCATTTCAATTTCAAAGTACTTCCCTGACATGGCTGTTTTGTGTGTAAAATTGCTAAAGCATCAGCACGTACAAAATCAGCGACAAAAAGATCAATCAAATAATGTTGTTATTATAATGTTCCGGTGATGTGAATAAATGATGAACGCAATGTATGATATAGATTTCAATACAATAAAATAAACTTTCAGTAAGACATTAAAATATCCCTAAAACTGGAAGGTGGTCTTACCTTGCGCGTCAACTATTTGGAGCAGACCCCACAGAAAGAGAAGCACTAATCCCAATCTAAATCTCTGATGTTTGTTTTTCCCCATGACTTCGGAGTTTGGAAACTCCTCAGCGCGGAGTATTCGTTCCTTCTTCGGTTTGCTTCGGCCGTTACGGAGGAGCTGCTGTGGCGGTGAACGGAGGACCGACGCCGTTACGCGTCCCAAATTCTGCGTGCGCTCCTCACGGAGAGATCAGGAGAGGGTCCCGGGACTGGAGGTGTGGAGCGATGCGCAGCCGCCCTCTAGCTCTCATCTAAACGCGCTCTCCACAGACGCGCTCGCACTCCTCTGCATGAGTTGCTGGTTAGTTGAGAACGCGCGCGCTCATTCACTGTATGGCGATGTGTTTGTGCTGCTTTTCTCTCACTGGATGCGTTCAGAGGAGCTGCGGGTCGGGTTTTCTGCATCCAGCATCCAGCTGCATGTGCGCTCGGCGCTTGTCGAATATGAGCAGCGTGAGACCCGTTTCTCGGTTTAACCCGCATCCCGCTGCCCGCCTCTGCCCTCCACCGGCTACTGCGAACACTAGGACCGGATTCACCGACGGATCTTCTGCTGAAATAGATGATTTTGCGATCTGGATTTGACCAAACTTGGGTGGAAATGCACCTGCACTCTAAAAAATGCTGGGTTAAAAACAACCCAATTGCTAGGTTTGTCCCTATTTTACCCAGCACTGGGGTGTATTTAACCCAGCATTTTTTAGAGTGTGATATGACACTAAACATGATTTTCATTCATATTTTTACTTAATAATAAAACAAGTAAATATATGTTAGCACATGGAGTAGCTACACTAAAAAATGCTGGGTTAAATACAACCCAGTGTTGGGTAAAATAGGGACAAACCCAGCAATTGGGTTGTTTTGACCCAGCGGTTGGGTTAAATGTTTAACTCAACCTTCTGGGTAGTAACCCAACCGCTGGGTCAAAACAACCCAATTGCTAGGTTTGTCCCTATTTTACCCAGCACTGGGTTTATTTAACCCAGCATTTTTTAGAGTGTGATATGACACTAAACATGATTTTTTTGCTATAGTTTAATGTCGTCAGGTTGAGTCAGTCATTCATATTTTTACTTAATAATAAAACAAGTAAATATATGTTAGCACATGGAGGTTGTGTTAAACATTTAACCCAACCGCTGGGTCAAAACAACCCAATTGCTGGGTTTGTCCCTATTTTAGCCAGCACTGGGTTGAATTTAACCCAGCATTTTTTAGAGTGTACATTTTATACATGCTATTACCGTAAATATGAACGTAACTGATTTCGGTTTACGTACTCTAAATAGGCTAACGTTTCAATAGCGTTCAGATGGTAGGCTAAGCAAAACTAAGTTAGTTTACAAGGGCCAGCAACCGGACATGATTCATTTTCAATGAGAGCTTTTCTGTGAACCTGCAATACTCACCTTATTTTACAATGCAAGTAAGCTATTTTCAGTGAGTGTGCGAGACTTCCGATTCATTAACCGCTAATGACTTTTTGCGTTAGAGAAACAAGTGCGCAGCCATCTTTAGAATTTTCTTTGAACTTCCGTTTTTGCAGTAGCTCTATAGCATCGCTGTTAAAGATTAATTAGCCGGTGAAGTGGATTTACTTATTGTATAGTTAACGAAAGTTATCGTGAACATTGTAATGTTCGAATCGGATGTCATAACGGTAACACTTTCTATGAAGTCCATATTTATAATACATTATAAGGGTATTCTTAATGCATTCATATTAATGAATGCATAATGCATTATAAAAAAAAAACTTATAATATGTTATATCATCTTATGTATATTCATAAGAACTGTTTTAATGTATTATAATATTTACTTATTTGTGGTTATAGCTTTTAAGAGTGTGATGATTTATAACACACAGTGAACGTTGCATCCAAGTTACAGTGGATTATATTTCTCAGTTACAATGTATTATAAGTCTCATATCTTGTCATCTTTCTTATGCTACTTTACTTAAAGCAAAGACCACTTATAAGTATAGTAATAACAATAATAATAATATTTTTCTCAAACAGCCATAAGATCAGATATCAGATAAGATGAATGTGTAATATGACACATTTGCTTTGAACTATTTTTACTATAATATCAGTTTGATTATTTTGATGGTACCCTTTAGACAGCTGTTGATAGTCTGCAACTACATGTCAACTAGTATTTGGAGTATTAGTAGTATGTCTGCTAAATATATGCTAACACTTTATTTTGATGGTTCCCCAACAGACAAACTGCACTATAAGTAATTTTGCAAGTATGTCATTATTCTACCTACCCTAACCTTAACCCTACTAATACTCTAATGAGAGTTAGTTGACATGTAGCTGCAAAGTTGCTTATAGTCAATAGACTAGGGGGACCATCAAAATAAAATGTAACCTAACATTGTATTTTTTTTCAATGCAATTGAAATTATAGCTCACATCAAAATTAATATTAGACTCACAGGGAACACTCTAATAACACTCCACACCTAAACACTTACAAGATGTCGTAAGATACTGTGCAGATCTTAAATAAACAGATATATAGTCCATTATAAATGAAAAAGTCGATTTAATATGGTGTTCATTGTGTGTTATAAATAATCATAATCTTAAACGCTATAACCACAAATGCGTAAGCATTATAATATATTCTAATTGTTGTTATGATTATTTATAAGAGTATATAACATATTATACGTTTTTTTTATGCATTATACCCTTATATGTATTAAATATGGGCTTCATAGAAAGTGTTACCATCATAAGAAATGTCAGTAGAACGGAACATTTTTAAAGGAGCGGTTCATTCATAAATTCGTACGACTTTACCTTCATACTGTGGAAATACAAACCGGAAGACAGAAGACAACAACTGCAGTGATAAAAAGGGGCGGGGCTACATAAGGTCTATAGATAGGATAAAATAAAATGCAGTCAAGGGTAAATCTATTTGCGCTACAAACTGGTGTGTTTATAATTACTGCAATACATTATAATAGCAAATAATATAATAATAACAAATATCAGTGTGCAATATCAAGCAGTAGCTGTTTTGTACAGTTAAAAGTATAGGGCTGAAAACGAATGACAGGAAAACCTCGCACATTAAAGTTACAAATGTCCGTGCCTGGTTTTACGTTAAAAATAAGATGGAAACTGTACATTTAGTCATTTAGCTAGCAGATGCTTTTATGCAGAGCAACTTACAAATGAAAAACACCTTAAGCAATTTATCATACGAGAGCCATAAATACTTGCAATAGCTCAAACGCCAAGTTTTGAGAGTAGGCTTACAGAATGTAGAACGGAATTTATTTATAGGACCTGCTTTTTACCATTGTGCTTTCATTGCGCACATAAGAGGTGTCTTTAACTGTTTCTAGAAGGTTGTGATGGTCTCAGCAGATCAGGTGGAGGTTGGAGGCTGGCTCTACCACCAGGAAACAAAGGGAGTTAACGTTTTGGAAAGTGATGTTATGATGGAACCACCATGTGCTGCTCACGTAGAAGACAAAATGGATCATACACTTTTAGATGTGTGTTGAAGTTGGAGGACGTCGTTCCAGTGGCAGTCCTGAAGACCATCATCAAAGCCTTGAATTTGACTCAGATGGCTACAGGTAAACTTTGGAGCAAGACCAAAAAGGGTGTGACGTGGACTCCTTTTGGTTGATTTAAGATCAGATGCATGCATGACAAATGGGATACTCAATGGTTTAGCAGAATAAAAGTTATAAACATGCCAACAAAATCAACATAACAGTAAATAAAACAAATGCGACTATATTAATGATGCATGCTGGGTAGGAACAGGGCGAATGGGACTGAATTACAAAACAAGTTTTTTGAGTCTAGGCATATTTGAACTAAAAATTACATAAATCCAACGTACCTGCTGTGCTTGTTGTTCGACTTTAAAAATCATATTGAGTATAGTGCAGCAGAAAGAATGGCATGAAGATGCAAAACTTGTGTTCATGAAAGTTCGGAAAACTTTGGAATACCATAAAAGGAAAAAAAACATATAACTTGACCTAAGAATAATTTGAACATTGTGATAAGAACTTAAGAGCGATGCAATTAACAATTAAACCACACATAGGATAGAGCAGTGGTTCCCAACCCTGGTCCTGAAGGCACCCCAACACTGCACATTTTGCATGTCTCCTTAATCAAACACACCTGATTCAGGTCATCAGCTCATTAGTAGAGACTCCAAGAACTGAAACTGGTGTGTCAGAGAAAGGAGACATGCAATATGTGCAGTGTTGGGGTGCCTCCAGGACCAGGGTTGGGAACCACTGAGATAGAGTACACAACACTGTTGGTCATGTTAAATTTGCTCATGGTCAATAACCAGAAAGATGTGCATCGGATTCCAGTGGAGGAATCATTTCCAGCCAGTGAAACATTGATATCACTTGTGGCATCACACCTCCAAAATCCAATAGCGATGAATAATATGCAGGCAAACACACACACAAGAACATAGACTTGGGCAAACACAATTTTCAGATTGCCCACTGTGCCAGCGTTATCTGTTGTTCATTCTATTCAACATGGCCATAACCGAGTCAGTGCCGCTATTGTGGAGATAATTCAGTTATGGAAGCGATATGATCGCAGTGCGTTTCTTCAGGTAAGAAGTCTATCCCGGCATCCATAACCCCAGCGGATGCCCAAAAACATTTGCTATACGCCCTCGTGGGTTACAGAAGCAAGTATGCATCATAGTATTTGTATAGCAGTGAGATTGGGTCGCTCCTACGGTTTGTCGAAATCACTCTGCGGCAAAACTCCTCGCTTGACAGGCACTCAGCGCTGGGTGATTGGCATCCTGTCTGCTGGATCTGTGTGTTGCAGCGCTGCACTCTGTGTGTGAGAGAGAGAGTGTGTGTGTGCTGAGTTTGAGATTTTTTTTACAGTGACATCAGTACATTTAGCTTCAATATATAAAGGCCGAATTGAGTCACCTTGAAGAAAATTACCTCCATAAAATGAGTTTGTGATTGGATTCACTCCATCACACACTCACATACAGACACATCAATACTCTCTGAGTAACAGACACAGCAACGAGAGATCAAGAAATAGAGCGAACCGCTTCTGAACCGGGGTTTCACTCACCCGAGGGTCACGCCAGCACTCGTTCGCCGGTGGACTTCATCAGCATGACAGAACTGTCATTTTAATGAAGCCGCGAGTCGAGTCAGGAGCAGGGTCACCGGCACACGCTCAGATGATAATCAGACGTGTACAAGTTCACATCCTCACATCTTCACAGTTAAAGTGCCAATATGTTTGTCCGTGACCTGGCAATGACGGTACAAGCGACTTTTGCTCGAACTGCGCCTAAAATGACGTACTATAGCTACACTGTACTTAAAATACTCGGTTATC